TATTTTTTACATTTTTTATTAATTAAAAATTTATAATTAAACTTGAATATTATTTTATTATAAATTAAAATTTATATTTTATATAAATTAAAAATGAGACTATTAAAATAAATAAAATCATATAAATTATAATACTATATTAAATTATAACGAAATAGCTAAATATTTAAGAATTTACGCAGTTTAATTGTACATTGCTACTGTAATAATGTCTCGTGTCTCAATCGTCACGTGTTTGTAGTAGGTAAAGTCAAGGTATGTAGAATAACGTTTGAACACGTACATATGTAAGTATTACATACGTCAGTAATATAATAACAAATATGTTAGCAAGCCATAAACTTGTATTTTTAGAGAAAAATAGAAAAAACAAAAGAAGTGTGTAATTCGGGAGAAGGTATTCGTCAAATTGACAAGAACGTGAAATACCGCGAGAATATATAAGTACTCAGTTCTTATATTTTCTTCTTTTTTTTCTTTCTACTTCTTTTCTTAGCTTTATTCCCTCTCTCCTCTTTCTTTTTCTGTCCATCTTATTCACATTATACTCGTTTGTTCTTTGTCAGTCATAGTTTAAGTCTTAATCCAGCCTTTCGTTTATATTCATTTCTATCTTTCTCACTTTTTGTTCTTTCTTCTCTGTCGTGTCATCCTATCTCTTTCTTTCTCGATTTTTCTTTCCTTCTCACTCTATTCTTCGATGCAAAGCAGAAGAAACCCCCGCGGTTGCTCGTTCGTTCTCAAAAGTCTTATTCTCGTTGTCACGCGCTAAAAATACTCCCGCACAGTCTTCCGAGGGTGTACCATGCCAAAGGAGTACGGGAATTAGGACGACAAAAGCAGTCAACGTCGACCTGGAACTGTCATGGAACGGCTTTCGAGAGTGGCATGTTATTTTCGATGGATGAGGAATGCGACATCTCATGATGCAAGTGAGGTTGAGGACGAACAAAAAACTATTAAAGTTGAACGATATCGAAATGTCGGATGTAATTTTGAAGCTTCGAGGCGACTTTGTGGTATTTTGGAAAGTATCCTTCTTTGGGAGAACTCTGTGAATAGTATTTCTGTCGTCATCGTATTCAATATACTGTTTTGGTAAGTTTCTTTAATACTGTATGATATGCGTCACTTCAAAGATATAATTATATATAATTTTGAGAAATTTAATTATTTAGTTATTATTTTCTATCATCCAATAGAATTTTAATTTTGGTTAGTTTACAAAATAAAAATCTTATGAAGTCTAATTAGCTAAATAATGAATATTAAATATAATACATTTTTTTGATATAATTTAATATAATTTAATTTACAAGATTTTGATATTTTATTTTTAATAAATAAACTTATAGTAATAATAATTAAAAAATTAAATAATGATTAATAAAAAGTTTTGTATATTAAAAGAGAAGCGTTGCGCGACATTTCATTGTTTCTAAATGCTTTGAAAGTAAGTCGCTTTCTAGGTCAAGGTTTATAGAAGCATGCGTGTTTCGGCATTTGATGTCAGTTGTAAATACTTACTCTATCGTTACTCAAGCATGCTTTGTGTTTTTTATGTTTCTTTATGATAAGCGTATGAACGTATTCAATCATATAACGTTATTTACGTATATTAAAAACAAATTAATATAAAATATTTCTTTAATTTCAAATAATATATTCTAAAATTTTTTTTTGCATTTCTTTTTTCACAATTATATTTGTCCATGACATTCATATTTGCTTCGTCGAATGAATTGCATGTTCTCTACATATTTTTTTTACCAGATTATCATTACTATTCTAGATGGCAGTACGTGTTGATAATTAAAATCGTGATTGAAAATTAGAGAAATCATATTATACATAAATTATTTATTTGTTTCACTATTGTTATATTTGATAATTAGTTGATAGACAATAGTTTATTATTTACGTATTTTGTAATGAAATTATAAAAAAAAATAAAATAAAAATGATTATTTATCAATACTTATTTTTCAGGGGTATTATTGTATTAGAGGTTCGAGGCTTTGCTGCAGCCAGCAGTGCTGCACTGGTCGTTGTTCTCTGTTATAGTACCTTAGAAACTCAAATTCAAAAGGAAAATAAAGCATTGGATTTAGCTGCGTATGTATTATTATTTCCAAAATTATTTCCAATTGTGGTTATATATTCATAATTATGTCAACATATAAAATTAATACAATTAAAATTTATAATATATTTTTAGCTCTTATGCAAAAACAGAACAAATTGAGAAAATAGGAAAAAAAATAAAAACAGCAATTCATAATTTGAAGCAATTGAGAAAAGAGCAACCAGGAGTGGTAATGCTTTTGTACTTGTTACATTTTACTATATATAAATAGAAAAATATATCTATATTCTAAACATATATATTTTTATTTTATTCAATGTAAAAACTAATTATATTTATATAAAAATTAATTATGCTTCATTTTATTTTATGTTTAAATATATATAAATTATTTGAATTTTAATTTTAAACACTAAAAATGATTTCAGTTTTGTACTGCAGTTTGCTCTCTTTCTTTGGGTCTATGGATTATTGGTCGTACTATAAATGGTATACTTCTTACATATACAATATGCATGAGCATTTTACTTGGACCTGCATTATTGTTAAAGCTTCCTAGTAAAATGATATTACACAAAGGTGATTAATGCAACATTAAATATAAAATTCTATTTTTATTAAAAATAATTGATATAATAATTCTGAATACGTAATGAACATCTAATATTTCATTTTGTTAGAATGGGATAGTGAAATTGAAGAATTCTTACCAGCAGTAACTGAAGATAATCTTCAAGTTCTTACTAGAGCAGGAGAATCAGGGGACCAATCTCCTACTCCTACAAGCGTATTATCTGATGTTCAAAATGGTATAACCAATTGTTCAATATTATTAATCATAGCATTTTTAAATATTATTAATCATTTATTGTTATTTATTTTATATTTATTTAGTAAATATATATTTCATAAAATTTTATTAAAAAAATTTCTTTTATAGAGTTTTTTAATGATGAAGAACTTATGGGTCTTAAAATGCCATCACATGAAGATGGGAGTACTGATGATATAGAAAACTCTGAATTAGAGCTTAGTGCTGAAGAAACTGATATGGATGGTATTAAATTTCAAAGTGGCCATTTTGAAAAAGGATCATCTTCTGAGGAAGAAGCAGAACTTGAACCTATATCGAGCAAACTAATTAGTCACAGTGATGAAAGTGGTAGCGAATTTGAAATAATTGATGGTCAAGATGTTGATAACATTGCATGAAAATAACTGATATATGAACTGTGAAGTTATTATTATGCAGAATAGAATTAAATGAAGAAATGATTTCAAATACATTTTAATTGGATAATAATCTAAGTAAAATAATTATTTTGTTTTAATTTTAGATATTCTTGCTTCTTTACGAATATTTCTATAAAAGATATAAACTTCTATTTCTATTTTAAAAAAAATCATTTAGTACAAAAAGAATATAAATTTTTTTAAAAATATAATGAAAGATTTCTTTCAAAAATTTAATAATAAAAATTAATGAAAATTAAACATTCTTCTTATATAGTGCAAATAATAGTTTCTTAGTAATTACATTTATATATGCTAAAAAATATTCATAAAATTGTATATATTTTGTGCAACAGAAAGAATTATCTCTTATTTTTATTTTTGACTATATATGAATGATTCTTAATGTATATAAAAGATTAAAAAAATTTGAAAGAAAAAGATAAAATTAAACAAAAAAACAATTGTCAATTTAAATGTCATTTTGACTTTTGTAGTCAAAAATGATTTTGTATATATGTATCACAAACAGAAAAGAATTACCTATAAATTAATCTAAATAAGAAATTATAATATCCATATAGTATAGAAGATAAAAGATAAATAAATATTATTATAATAAATATTTGCTCCAATTTTGATATTGCAAAAATTACATGTAAAAATAATCTAATTTATCGGAAATTAAGTTTCAATGATATTGCATAAATATTTATTTTCTATTTTCACTAAATAATATATGTTTAAAACTTGAGCTAAAAAAATTGGTTATAATATTTACAAAAAAAAAACTGCAATAATTTTTTAAAACAAAATTTTTATATAACAAATTTTAAATCAAATTATAAGATAATACATATTATCTCAAAAAATAATTTTGTTTTTTGCTATAAAATCATAATTAAAATCATTTATATAATTTTATT